GTGGGACTCTGGGGAGACCGGGGACGGGCTGTCGGGGTCCTGGCTGTGGTGATGATGGTGCTGGCTGTGTGGGTGGTTGTGTCCGCCCGGGTGCCCGGACAGTTCCTCGGCGTGGTGCGGGATGCCCCCCGCGTATGGGTGATGGTGCTGCTGGCCGTGGCCGTGGTGGCTGTGATGGTGATGCGGGCCCCTGTAGCCCTCGAAAGCGCCTTGCTGCTGCAGCTGCTGTTGGACGTGCGGAGGTGGAGGGTGGCCGTGAGCCGTGGCTCCAATCAGGGCCTCCACCGCGTCCTCTGGGGTCAGGCTTAGCGTCTGCGGGTCTATCTGCTGGTGGTACCCGCTGTTCGGCATCCAGTACAGCTCCTCTAGGTGGTTTTTCTGCTCTGTGGGGCTGAAGCTGGGCGAGGAGGGCACCGAGCTGCAGGGTGTGCTGATGGGGGTGGAGGACACAGAGCCTTGGGGTTGGAGACGGTTGCACTGGCGCACCCCGTTGCGCTCCAGCCCGGCCAGGCCTTCCTTCTTCACGTCAAACTTCATCAGGTCAAAATCATTGACATATTCCAGAGCCAGAGGGCTGCTGGGTAGCTCCGGGCCCATGCTCAGCTCTGTGCTCATGTTGGTGTCCCGACTCTTTTGCAGATATGCAAAGGTGCTGGCGAGCGTCGCAAAAACTGACTTATTAATCAGCGTCTCTTCTCTCCCTTCTTGTTTCATGCAATAGTTCTTTTGGCTCCTCCACCGCTGCGCACTGACTTGCTGTAGCATGAAACACCGTGTGATTGGTGGAAAAAAAAGAAAGGAAAATGAAAAAAAAAAAGTATTGGAGGAAAACTTTCAGACTAATGCTCGGCGGTTTGCGTCATATAGCCTACTTCTGCTGGGATAATCTGGCAGAGAGACCAGGGCAGGAGGTAGAAAGCAGTGCGACTCAGTGCAGAAGTAAAAACCTCAGTCCCTTCAGTAGAAATGTATTCACACATAAAAAAAAAAAGAAAAAAAAATCAGCATAAATAATAATAAAGGAAATACCACGTTTGTTCGCTGAGACGGGCACCAGTCCTCGTTGCAACTTCTTGGTTGTAAGTCCCTTTTTCTTTTCTCCAGGAAAATAATAGGAGCAAATAAGCAGAGTAAATAGGGCGTCTGATTTTTCGCTGAGAAGCAGCTTTTCCAGCTCTGCACCGCAGAGATTTAAAGGCTCGCCTCTCTCACTCTCTCCCACTCAGTGGTATCCAGCAGACTGCGCTTGGAGCTTGCCAGCGCTTTATGCTTATAGCGGACCGTGACGTCGAGCTGAAAGGCTGGATCCGTAGCGCTCAGCTCTCCAATGGGAGCGCCGAAACAGAGGAAGGGAAGTAGGAGGAGAACAGGGGAGAGGAGGGCGCACAATGGTCTTGACAGCTATACAGACAGTCAGCTGACCGACTTCCCTAAAAGCGGGTGGAAAGTGGAGGAGAGAGAGAGAGAGAGAGAGAGAGAGAGAAATGCCTTCACCTCATGGACGGCTCCGGTGTAACGCACCCGCTCCTTGTCTTCTCTTATGACTGTTTCATTTCTCAATGAGAGTGATGTGAGTGATTTATTGGCTGCACTGGCCAATGGATATCTTCCAGTAGCACTTATATGGCACCACACTCCCTTTTAGAAAACTTTAGAATTTAACAAAAACGTTCAATATAATATTAAAAAACCCCGTTTACATAAAATATGTAATATTAAAAATGTGTTTCTAAATGCACTTTGATTTGTATACCTTATACCGGACAAACTGTGTAACCCTCCAGAAGAAGACAATGCACATTATCGCCTTCCCTTTCCCGTCATTCACTGATTAAATAACAATTGATTCAGTTGACTTATTTGACTTATATTAAATGACTTCGGACACCAGGCCCCGATGTGCTTTCACAAGCTTGCATCAAATTGAACAAAGTAACCATTCACAGGTATCTGCTGTATCTGCCAGTAGATAAAGGTCGAGGTGATTTTTTAACAATGTTGAAAAGTTGAATCTTGACCTCTTTGGCGCAAACAAGGACACAGCTCTTTACTGTGTCATTGCGCTGTTAATGCTGCAGACATTAAAAACACACTTTAGCTTATAGTCCGGTTTTGAGGTTTTGGCCGTTGTATAGCCCCACAATGGAGAATCATAATACAATCCAATACAACTCTTGATATCACTAATATGTCTGTGATGCTCACATGGTGACCTCGCTGCACTGAAGTTTGTTTGTTTAAATCATTTTGCTGTGACACGGCCACAGCTCTCTCCTGTGTGTCTTTGTACAAACCCTGTGTTATAATCATTATGGGTTAAGTGTATTTTTTCTGGTGGAAATAAAAGTTGACTTTGTTCAGAGCCTGTTATTACTCCCAGATTCCCACATCAGGCTCCTCTTGGCTCGGACAGTTTGTTTTACACCGGGCAGCAACAGGGCGATCCGGCAGAAAACAGGCTCAAGGCTGCCCCTGTGTGGCCAATCCGTGCACCGACCGGAGCTGCTGAGACGCTGCTTGTAAATATTTCCTTTTTTTCTTTTTGCGATGGATTTTTTTTTTTATCTCTCCGCGCTAATTTCTTCTTTTGCAGGTCACATCCTGCAATTATGTCCGACAACAATTAACCTCTGTCATGTGAGTCTCATAAACACGCGCTGGCACATGTTTAATCATCCCACTGACTCTCTCTCTAACAGGTAGTTTGGCCAAAATAGGATCAGATTCTCCAGGATGTGCAGTTGATTTTCATCTGTGTCTTAATTGCTTTAATTGCCTGACAAAAAAAAAAAAAGAAGAAGTAGTGTGAGCAAATGTCTCGCTTCCCTGCAAAAAGAAACCGCTTGTAAATGAGTCAATTTGAAGGATCGATTGGATTATCATTTCGTTTCCACCTCATATCCACGGTTGAGTACAGACCAGAGCGTATTGATCAGGCTGGATGTAAGTGCAGGCTGCCAAAGATGAGATCCGATAATGAAGGGCTTATTTGTTTGGTTTAAATTCTTCATCAGCTAGAGTTGTGCAGCAGTGATGGAGTCTGAATCCAACATGTCATAAATCAGCATCGTTTAGATTTAAAAAAAAAAAAAAAAAGGATTTCAGGTTATAGTTTGGGCAATTTAAGGATATTTTTCGACTTATCTAAAAGTCTGACCGAAATCGCTAAACACAGCTATTAAAGTAAAATAAATAAATAAATAAAAAATGAAAGTATGAAATTACACATTTTAAAGAGAATATTTAATTTCCATGAAGTATTTATCAGAAAGAGGCAGAGACTATTAAGACACGGCATTACTTATGATTATCAAATACCTAAATATCAGCGTTTATTATTATTAAAATAATTATTATATTTAGTCTATTATTATTCTAAGATATTTTTTGCGCCTACATGATTATTTGTATATAAAAATATATAATTGGCTATTTTGATTCAAGGTTAATTAAAGTGCACTTTAAAGCGACTCTGAATTGTATTTATTCTTTGTGTCATTTTTTAGCTTTTATCAACATCTTCAGCCTTTACACACACACTTTCCCTTCAGCCTCAGACAGCCCGGATATCACTGATTCTAAAATACAAGACACATTTTTATCTAGTGCACCATCAAAAACATGCAGGTAGCGTTCAAGTTACTGCCATCCTCTTTTTTTTTTTATTCCCTGAACCTGGGAAGCAGACGAGCTTCTCACTCCTCAGCTCCAACTTCAAAAAGCCCCGAGCGAGCCGTGCCGTGCCGAGCCGAGCTGCTCTAAAACCTTCTTCCCAGCGAGGCCGACCCGAGGCAGCCCCATTAGGTCGTAATGCTCTCTAATATAGCCCGAGTCCACCGTCTAATAGATCCAGGCAGGCCTGCCGGCGGCTCTCCCCCTTCGGTAATAACGGGCTGTAATGGAGAGACGAGATGTAAAAAAGCGTCCATGTCAGCAGCATATCGGTGGTTAATGATCTATTAAGTGATCCGTGTGCTTATGGACAGCGAAAAAAAGTGTTGATGCTTGCTTATTCGCCCCTAATGAGAGTCCCATCCTACGGATTTTAGGAATGAATAACAGAAATAAAATCACCTTTAAAATGTTACATTTAACAGTTGACGCATGGAGGCTGCAGTGGCTGCAGAGCTTCCCACAGCTCACATCTCACACCTGCAACAGGCCCGCTGGTTTCTCACAGGAGGCCCATGGTGCGTCTGTAGGAAGAGACATGATTCCCCCCTCTCAAATGTGGATTTCTATTCTGCTCCAGGACCTATCCATGCATGTACACCTGCTGTCCGGAGGCCGGGTTTGCATTGCCAAGACCGCTTGGATCTGGGTGACCTGAAACTTCGTCTGTATGGGAGAATGCAGTGAATACAAGGAATACTTTTTCCCTCCCTTTTACAGTCAGAATCAGACTCTGTGTTTCACTCCGAGGTAAACAGATGGTTTTTTATTTGGTCGCCTTTTGGCCGTTTGGCGTGCGTAATGATTAACTGTAATGGTCCCCCCGACCATTCCTGGAAGTGTTGCAGAACAAAACGGAAGGTGGCCGACATGGAAGGCCCCTGACAGGGAGAGTGAGGGATGGAGATGGAGAGACGGTGCTTTCGGAAGTGTTGCTTTGATGAGCTTTGACGCAGGAGGGAGAAAAGAGACGCGCAGAGCTTGTTGTAGCTTCGGCTTCAGCGCCCAAAAGTTCTACCCCTAACCGCTTCCATTATACAGGGGTAAAACTACTGATTTTAAAATGTAATATGAGTTTTGACTCGGGCAACCAGTTAATGCAAATGTAAGCTTAAACTTTCGGCTGTTTCATACAGCTGCCATCAGATTTATGTTGTATTTATGTTGCTCTACAGAGTGAAACTGCCGGAATCTGTCTAAAACGTTACATTGTCAATTTGCCGTAGATTCATGTTCAATTATGTACTAAAAATGTAATAGCCACAAATTATTAAGAATGCATTTTTTTGCACTACAACTGAATGATCCATTTCCCCCACCCTGAATCACACTGTGTAAACAGGTGTTTCCATTAATGAACTCACTCTATGCTTTGTCTTAATATAATAATAATGAGTCTGAGGTACATTAGTTTCTAAAATGTTCAGCTGGATTATACATACAGTGGCTCACAGCGCACCACTAATCTAACATCTTCCGTTTACAACGTGAACTTACTCAGGCATTCTTGTTTACTCCAGACTGATCGATTATCTCTGTGAAAACATGTATTATTAAGATGTGTCGTCTGTGTAAACAGGCAGAGGCCATCCTCTGGAGAAAGCTAACATCCCCATCAGGGATAATTGACCGAGGAGGGTTTTTTTTTTTTCAGGAACAAGAACATGAGGTGAGATAAGTGCAAAATCTGGCAATCTCATTAATATGAAAAAGTATCGATTTAACAATGAACATGAATTGTTTATCTTTTTTTTTTTTTAAATAATGCTTGGTGTTTTTCCTCGTGCACAGGCCTGCCTTTGACAGTCATAATTCTTCAGCAGTGTTATCACAGCAGTTACACTCCCACCATTTAACCGGCGAGGAGGTAGTTGTGTTTGCAGGGAAAATTAGAGCTTATTTCTTGTGACAGGGCGCCTCTGGTGGCGCATTTACTCATTGCTAATAGTTTGATGTGTATCATCAGTGACATGCAGTCTTTTTCTTTTGGCACTTACCCCATGCAGACAGCTCCAACTTCAGAACTTCAGTCATTTAGTCTTTTTTTGAAATGACAGAGAGGCAGAGAGGATATAAAAATATGATGGGGAGGCCAAGGCATAATTGTAGGCCTTTTCTGAGATTAGATGTCTCTGATTGACATGTTGTAAATATAACAACAAATAAATGTCAGTACGCACTGTACTGGCTTAATCCCAGAAGAAGAAGAACAATAAATCTGCCTTTTGCTGTGGTCATTTCATTAATGTAAATTGCAATGCTATGTACAATAGTTTGGCTTCCTTCCAGTTGGCTCTTTGCTGAGGCTTATGCATAACATTGGTTCTTATCATAAACTGGGGCTGTGTAACCACAGAATGTAGGCGACACCACAAGAACCAAATATCAGAGTGCAGGCATAACATAATTAAAGCCCATATTCTCTGGTCATAACCGCAATTTACATCTGTATTTTCTGAGCCAATAACAGGCTACTGTAATTCCAAAGAAACATACAAGTAACTCAATTATTATGATGCATTGAATACATAATTATGACAATTTCTACTCACAAGGAGCACCTGTTTCCTGTAAAAAAAGAATTGGCATACAGTTCATGTATAAAATTGTCTTTTTCTTAAATGTATCATTT